CACTTTGACTATGACCGTGTTGGAATAAGATCGAAGTTGACGAACTCAAAAGGGTTCCATAGCCTTGGCAACTCATGACTAGAGCCTAGGGTGATTACTGACGCCATAAACAAGAGTGTCAAATTGTTAAGTCAACAACAGGAGTCACTGTGTACTTATTTCTTATGTGGGATCTGTCCTTAGTGTGTTGTCCAATGTGAAGTAATGCTATAACTAGTACTGAAACAGTATTTTACACTTTGTGTTTCTGTGTGGGTGCAAACTGATGAAATCTTTACTTAATATATACTGAATTGATCTTCTGTATATATAGAGAGAATTGAAAATGAATCTTGATGTGAATGGAATGGGAGAGGGGAGGGGTGCGAGTGGGAGGGAAGTTATGGGGGGGAAAAGCCATTGTAATCCATAAACTGTACTTTGGAAATTTATATTTACTAAATAAAAGTTTAAAAAAATTACTTTGTATTTTGTAATTTTTATCTAATTTTTAAAACCTTAGTTTATAATGTAACTGTTTTACTTTATAATGTTAATTACATTCAAATATTTATCTTCAAAATAGTCTCTTGTAGACTCTAATATGGTAATGTACAAGTAAGTACTCATTAAATACACTAGGGAAACAATAGGGTATATAGGTTAAAAGAATGTGCCCTGGAGTAAAGTGCTTTGGTTTAAATCTAGAGTCTTACTCTTCTACCTCTGTGATTTTAGTACAAATTATTTCACTTTTCTGTGCCTTCACTTATAAACCATATAAGTAAGAAGAAGCAAGGATCAACTAAGTACTTAGATTAGTAAAATGAGTATAATAAGAGTACATTTATATTCTGCTTTAGGAGTATTGTATGCACCAGATAAGGCAGTACATTTAAAACATACAGTACTACTCTGTTAGTCTTAACTGTTCTTATAACTTGTTGACTGGTAGTTCTGAGGAATTGTAATTTGACTAATATTCTAAGTCCTGTTTTTTTTTCTCAGTGTTGTGATCATTTTTGTGACTTTCAATAATGGGAACTTAGATATTATATATTCATAGTTTATTTCAGAAGCATCAATTTAATATCTACTAACCTGAGCTATAATGCCCTGTAATTTTGTTTAGCTCATAGGGAGTTGGATATGATTTTACTTTAGAAAAAAATCAATTTCTCATTGTGTCTCCTAAGAAAATAAATGTTAACCTTAATTGTGAATGATAACTTGGGGTTTTTAATTAAGAGTAGTTTTAGGTTTATGTTAGTCACAAGTTTTAGTAGGTTCAGTTAGAGATATGATTATTTGATGTCTATTTTTAAGTCTTTTTTTCTGTAAGTTAGCACTCATAGCAAGAAAACATCATATTTTTGCAGTTGTCATGGTGGCAGTGTACAAAAATCTATTAAAATGTGTACTTTACTTGGAAGTAAGAGAATATCTGGAATGCTAATCCTGAAGGTCCTTAGTTTCCTATTAGGAGAGTCATGAGAGCAAACTTACTTGCTTCATAACGTCAAGACATTATTTATCTTTTTCACTATGTTGCCATTTGCACTGAAAGTGGTGATTGCAGCAATTTTGAGTAAATAAACTTCTGTGATTTGGTATGCATCAATTGGGGTAGCAGCACAAACCTATACTGTAGTTATTGTTGTCTGCCGGCACACACTTGAAGTAAAAGAGAACACAATATGTAACTATTCCATCAAAGAATATCCATGATTTACTACAAAAAGTATTTTTTAAAACCTAGCCTTTGGAGCTGGCACCATGGTGCAGCAGGTTAAAGCTGCCACCTGCAGTGCCAGCATCCCATATGGGTACCGGTTTGAGTCCTGGCTGTTCAACTTCTGATCCAGCTTGCTGCTATGGCCTGGGAAGGCAGTGGAAGATGGCCCAAGTAATTGGGCCCCTGCACCTGCATGGGAGAACTGGAAGAAGCTCCTGGCTCCTGGCTTTGGATCAGCTCCATTCTAGCCATTGCGGACATCTGGGGAGTGAACTGGTGGATGGAAGACCTTTCTCTCTCTCTCTGCCTCTTCCTTTCTGTAACTCTGCCTTTCAAATAAATATATAAATCTTAAAACACACACACACACACAAAAGAAAAAAAACCCTAAGCCTTTAAGTCCTCATTTTCAAAATATTCTGCATGATGAAGTGGCAGGTATACATAAAACACTTTCAGTGCATCATATCTGATGGTTTCTTTAAAGAAAAGCACTTGGGAGCTGATGGAGGTTCCGCCTTCCACTGAGGATTACCATTTTGTTTATGAATGAACCAAGAGATTTTTTTTTTAAGTTTGATTGTTTGCCAGAATGAATGAAGTTAGTTTGTCATTCAGAGAAAAAGTTGTTGACAGTATTGCTTGTGAGAAAATTGGAGTTCTCAAGAAAAAAATTAGAATTTTAGAAAACTTAGACCACCTTGAACTTGACAGCTTCCCAATACTTAAAATATTCATTTTAAAATAAGATTAGTGATATTAACAAATGCATTACTTTGAAATAGTGTGATGAAATATGTCAACAATTGAAAGACAAGCATAACTTCCTGTACTAATACTTTTTAAAAAGTTTGGTTGATTGATTGATTGATTTGAAAAGCAGCAAGAGAGGGAGAGGCAAAGATTGATTTTCCACCTACTGGCTCACTCCCCAAAATCCCTCAGTTTCCTTTGTTGCACCATGCCCAAACTAGGAGCCAAGAACTCTTTCCAGGTCTCCCACTTAGGTGGCAGGAATCCCAGCCATCATCTGTTGCCTCCCCAGGTGTATTATAGGAACCTGGATCAGGAGGGGAGGTGGGACTTGATCTCTGATGCTCCAAAATGGGATGTGGGCATCCTAAACTGTGGTGCACCTGCTGTATCACAGCACCTGCCCCTGATGTAATATTTTTTAAATGATCAATACATGTTGATGTTTTGTATGCCTAGGAGCTCCAAAGCACAAGAGATCAATGGATTTTTTTTTTTTTTTTTTTTTTTTTTTACAGGCAGAGTGGACAGAGAGACAGAGAGAAAGGTCTTCCTTTGCCGTTGGTTCACCCTCCAATGGCCGGCACGCTGCGGCCGGCGCACCATGCTGATCCGATGGCAGGAGCCAGGTACTTCTCCTGGTCTCCCATGTGGGTGCAGGGCCCAAGCACTTGGGCCATCCTCCACTGCACTCCCTGGCCACAGCAGAGAGCTGGCCTGGAAGAGGGGCAACCGGGACAGAATCCGGCGCCCCGACCGGGACTAGAACCCGGTGTGCCGGCGCCGCAAGGCGGAGGATTAACCTAGTGAGCTGTGGCGCCAGCCTGAGATCAATGGATTTTAATATAGCAGTTGGAATGTTCATTGATATTTTTTTCAGAGTTCACATGGCTGCTAACCTGCCGGAAATTTTAGTATACTATTAATGAATATTCACAAGAATCCAACATAATAATTAAAAATACTTCCATTTTCTACCTGTACATGTATGGGAGGCTGAATTGTTTTCACTTACTCAACCACAGTAACACGTCACAAAATACTGAATATAGAAGCAGATATTAGAATGAGGTTATTTTCTGTTAAACTGTATTATAGAGATTTGTAATAATAATTAGCCACTCTTGCTAATTTTTTATTTTGTAAATATAGTTATTTTCATTTAAAATGCTAGTTATTTTAACATGTAAAAGGTTGATAATTTTTACTTTCAAATGAATTGATGTTTTTTAAATCTCAGTTTTTAATATCTAAATAAGTTAAACATCAATAGAAATATAAAGATAAGCTCTTTGGGCTCCTCAATATGTTTTCCTACCGTAATGAGGTTTTTTAAGAATCTGTGGTCTAGAGAAATCCACGTATGATTTAGGAGGAGGACATAGCCAAAATATATGTGTTTCAGCTTAAAGTAGTACTTTGATGTGAAGTGTTTTTCAAATGAAAGTGTTAAGGTAGGCTTTGTAGGAATCACTTTTTTAAAATAGAGGTTTGTTTATTTATTTATTTTAAAGATTTATAGAGGGAGAGAAATCTCCTCCACTAGTTCACTCCCAGATGGCTGCAACAGTCAGGACTGGGCCAGTCCAAACCTAGGAGCCAGGAGCATCATCCAGGTCTTCCACATGGGTGACAGGGGCCCAAACACTTGAACCGTCTTCCACTGCTTTCCCAGATGCATTAGCAGGGAACTGTATCAAAAGTGGAGCTGCTGGGACTTGAACCAGTGCCCATATGGGATGCTGGTACTTGCTGTGATTTAACCTGCTCTGCCACAGTGCTAGCCCTGAAATTTGTTTACTTATAATTTGAAAGGCAGAGTGGCAGAGAGAGGGAGAGACACAGAAAGATATCTTCCATCTGCAGGTTCACACCCCAGATAGCTGCAACAACCAAGGGTGGGCCAGGATCTCCATCTGGATCTCTCACTTGAGTGACAGGGGCCCAAGTATTTGGACTATCTTCCATTGCCTTCTAAGGCACATTAGCATGGAGCTGGATTGGAAGCAGAGCAACCTGGATTTGAAAAGGCACTCCAACATGGGATGTTAGTGTCATAAGTGGCGGCTTAACCCACTGTGCCATAATAATGGCCCCCACACTATATTTTTTGAAGTCATATTATTTTGAAACTTTTCCAAAATTTTGCTTTCATTTTATATATTTAAAATACAAGAGAATACCAAAATGAAATATTTGGACATTTAGTTTTTCTCAACCATAGTTGGTAGCTGATTTTTTTTTTTTTTGAAGCTCAATAAAATATAAGAACACAGAAAAAGATGTTCTGTGGTTATCTATGGAATATTTCCTCATGTCTCACACATGCTTCATACTTGATTTAAATGGACAAAGATTTATTTAAAAATTTGTAATAGTTCAGTGCAATGCCATTTTGGAATGTAGATAGAGGGCAATTCACTATAGTGGAAATCTTTTGCATATTAATGTTAACTGTTTATCCTTTTACCATGTGAAATATGATGGTGATAAGGTTGGTTGAGTTTCGAATTTTTCACTTTTATTTAAACAGATAATCTCAGTGATACCTTAAAGAAGCTGAAGATAACAGCTGTTGACAAGACTGAGGATAGTTTAGAAGGATGCTTGGATTGTCTGCTTCAAGCCCTGGCTCAAAATAGTAAGTTCCATTATGTTTTTCTCAAATGCAAAGCAAAAAAAAAATCGAATCAGCAGTCATTCAGAAATTGATATATAGTTGAACAAATAACTTGCATTGACATAACTTGAATGTTTTTGAGTCCTATCCCTGAGTGCTGAGGTTGTGTTACATGTTCTACCCTCCCACTCAACCTCCCACCCTCAAAATAAACTCAAAGCCAAATTGATAAGCAAAGAAAGGAGGAATTGATTGGTGGTGATGACATTAATACCAGCCTCAGAAAGAGGCCATTATTTCCTTCCTAACAGACAACATTATAGTTGTTTTTTGCTGAACACCTACATTTGTGCTTTAGAAAAGACTGCTTATTTGTGGGTTGAGAGGGGGAGAGAGGAGAAACAGAGAAGATAACCTAAAACATTTGACATTTTTTCACATGAGATCTTATGGTCACTATTTAAAGTAATTTTACTTTAAAATTATGTGTGTATATGTAGATTAACTTGGAAAAACCATCAATAGTCAACTAAAAATCCCCTGAAATTGAGACAAGACTTTGGTGTGATAAATACTAGAAATAGAAATTACATAATTGTTCATTAATTAACACATGGTATTATTGCATTTGATTTGTCATATTTCCATTCACTAATTTCTGTATGACAGTGAATGCAGAGGTATAGAGTGATTTTCATTTGTTGCCTTAATTCTGTTTGTGCTATACTTGTGTCTGTCATGAGAGCACCTATTGTATGCCACAGACTCTATTTATTTCCTAGTCTTTTCCTTACTACATGAGGTAGGTTTATTATCACAATCTAAAGGATGAGAAAGATTGGGTAAGATTATTTGCATTGATGTGTCAGAAGTAAGAGTTTGGAATCGAACTCTTAGTTCACAACATGAAGTTATTCCAAGAAGCTAGATGTTAATGTGATCTTAAGTTTTTGCTTTTTCTTTAAAATAGTTCTGAATATTTATTAGTATAAAGGCGAATAAACCTTTTTTCCCCTTGAGCATAGACTTGATAATATTTATTATTTAGGTATTTATTAATATAATTTAAAAATATCTGGTTTTAGACCATAAAAAGTAATATATAATTTTCTGTAATGTTTATTTTCATCATTCTTACTTGCCTAAGTAGATTGACCCATTGACACTTCTGTCTTCTTATGATAACATTTAACTTAAATGAGTCTGTACATGTTTTTTTTTTTTTTTTGATGGAGAACTTTTAATTTCATAATTCTTCCTTGGTGTCAGTTGTTTTACAAAAAAAAAAATCTCACTATTTGCACCAAAATTGCACCTGGTCAAAAAAGAGTTCTCCATTTTGTACAAATACAACATGATAATGTGTATAATGGAAATGTGAACTTAAAATTTTGTTTTACAATAGTCTCACTTGTCCTTGGAAAGGATATTTCTTTTTTTTTTTTTTTTGAGAGGTAAAGTTATAGACAGTGAGAGGGAGAGACAGAGAGAAGTCTTCTGTCCATTGGTTCACTCCGCAAATGGCCGCAATGGCTGAAGCTGCACCGATCTGAAGCCAGGAGCCAGGAGTTTCTTTCGGTTTCAGTCTCCCACGTGGGTGCAGGGGTCCAAGGACTTGGGCCATCTTCTACTGTTTTCCTAGGCCATAGTAGAGAGCTGGATTGGAAGAGAGGCAGCTGGGACTAGAACTGGTGTGTATATGGGATGCCGGCACCGCAGGCGGAGGATTAGCACACTGCATCAGTGTGCCGGCCCTGGAAAGGATATTTCAGAAAGAATATGCTTTTGAAAAATCTGTACTGTGTGAATTTAGTACATTTGAATTGTGCATTGTAAATGATCATATTATGAAAGTTTTACTTTGATGTGTGACTAGAATGGTTCCCTCTTCCCTTTCTTTGACATTAAATTCAGTGTCTGCCAATTTTAAAAGATGAGCGTGTGATTGGCTATGTGGCCCCTCAGGATAAACCACTGCTTGCAGAACCTATCCAGTTGGGTGCTGGTTCAAGTCCGGCTGCTCCACTTCTGAGTCAGCTCCCTGCTAATGTACCTGGGAAAGCAGAGGAGGATGGCCCAAATGGGAGACTCAGAAGAAGCTCCTGGCTCCTGGTTTCTGCCTGGCCCAGTTGTGGTTGTTGTGGCCCTTTGGGGAGTGAACCAGCAGATCGAAGACATCTGTCTCTCTCTCCCTCTCTCTCTCTGTAAATCTGACTTTCAAATAAATACATCCATCTTACCAAAAAAAAAAAAAAAAAAGGGGAGAGAGATGAGAGTTACAAGAATTGAATACATAGTAGATTTTATAGAAAACGCTTTGTTTAAGTAAGATATTTTTATAAATCTCAGATCTGAATGAGAGGCATTCATTTACTCACATAAATACTTCAGATCTCAGTTTTAAAAATGTTTTCAGTAAATATATGAAGGCTACCAGCCAAGAAATCAGCTTCTGTTTATTCTAGTTTCTTAATTCGGATTATATTTAGATGATTCTCAGTAAATGCTTGTTGAATTACAGTATAGCTACTCTATTTCATGTTTGTTTGAAAAATTAAAACAATAAGCTACCTCTTTTCATCCCTCAACATTAAGACAAAAAGAGCAGGACTTCTGCATCACCTTCCAGGATAAACTACCAGCAAAAATTAAAAGCTAAGACAAAGAACCAAATTACCGTTTTTGTCATAATAAAAGTTCTATTAATTTTATTCCATGTTAAAACATGGGGAACAGATCACATGGAGGGGAGAATCACCAAACAACGCAGCAATATTCTCCAGCAACTTTAAACTCTTCCTGAAGAATGAGGCTCTCTTCTTCTGCCTTGCTGTCATATTTTCCTTTGTAATTTAAAATTTGCTTTGTTACTTTCCTAGTAAAAATTCTGATTTCATACAAGAATTATATGATTATTTATTTTGTGTAGAACAACTCTATGAGACAAACACAGGTTAACTTGTCTTTGAAGAAGAAAGTGTTTAATATCTAGATCCACAAGACTAATCTGTTTATTTCCTATTTCTTGGTTTGTATTTTATTTGTTGTATTGATTCCAGGTTCCATACTCGGCTACAATGCTAGGCATACCTAATTACATACACCAACTGCTAATATAGATTACTCCATGGATCTTCTCTAGCAGTAAGACCTTTTTGTTTCAGTTGCTTTCAGTCTGCCTTATGCTTCTAATGCAGGGCTGGGAAACATTTTCTTTTTCTTTCTGCTAAGGGATGTTTGTATATTTATAACATCACTTGCAGGCCATATGAAATTATCAACTTAAAAAATTAGTGGGCTATTTACTTATTGAATTTCAGATACCACTTGTGGTAACTGTCAGGGCCACACCAAATGATTTCACAGGCCTTATACAGCTAATGAGTCAGACATTCCCCACCCTCTTGTATCTAAATAGATTTTACTGCGAGTAGCAAAGTTACTTCTTCACTAAGGGGTTTTGAAATTTATTAGTCCCCACCCCAGTAGCTATAGTAAAACTAATCACTGAGCACAAAATATTGCTGATTTTTTAGAAATTAAAATGTATTATTTTAGTTTATTATTTAATAATAATAAGGAGGGTAGATACAACTTTTTTATCACGAGTTATCAGATGTGCCACAGAAGTGCCCTTTTTTCTTCATTATGGTGCTTATTCATTTTTTATAGTAATTCTTTAGTTATAGTGTTCATTGTCCCTGAAGGTTTATGACTGATACAAATCATAAACTCCCAGAGATTCTGTTCATACTAAGTAAAGGTAGCGTTTGAAGACTGTATGAGACTCTAAACTATACCAAATCTGTCAACTAAAAAGATGTTGACAGTTCCTAATGAGTTAAGGTTCTTGGATTTCAGAGTATAGTGGTAGCTAACTCAATCTAAATCTTTCCAAATATTTTCTGAAAATCCATACAAATCAACAATGACATCAGATAAAACCAACTGACCATAATCTCTACCTTCAGTATAACTGGGAAACAGAATTAATATTATTAGAGAAAGAAATAAACATCGAAATCTAGCCTGCTCAACTTGAGAGACCACCGTGGAGTGATTTCAGTCAAGAGTACAGAGACTACATGAAAAAGAAAAGGGGAGTAAGGAACCAGGAGCTCAAATTAGAAAGTAAAATTCGGACCTTTGCTGTGGCATAGCAGTTAAATCCGCTGCCTGCAGTGCCAGCATCCCATATGTGTGCCCACTCCAGTCTCGGCTACTCCACTTCAGATCCAGCTCTCTGCTGTGGCCTGGGAAAGCAGTAGAGGATGGCCCAAGTGCTTGGGCCCCTGCACCCACATGGGTAACCTGGAAGAAGTTCAGTTCCAGCTGTTGCGGCCATCTAGGGAGTGAACCAGTGGAAGAAAGACCTCTCTCTCTCTCTCTCTCTCTCTCTCTCTGCCTCTCTGTAACTCTGCCTTTCAAATAAATAAATAACTCTTAAAAAAAAGAGAGAGAGAGAGAGAGAAAGCAAAATTCCTGGGGCTGGTGCAGTGGCATAGCAGGTAAAGCTGCTGCGTGCGATGTTGGCAGCCCATATGGTTGCCAATTTGAGTCCTGGATGCTCTGCTTCCTATCCAGCTCCCTGGTAATGTGCCTGGGAAAGCAGCAGAGGATGGCCGAAGTCCTTGGGCCCTTGCACCCACGTGGGAGACCCATATGAAGCTTCTGGCTTGGGTCTGGCCTAGCACTGGCCATTGTGACCATCTAGGGAGTGAACCAGTATATGGAAGATTTCTCTTTCTGTCCCTCCCTCTCTCTCTGTAACTTTGCCTTTCAAATAAAAAAAAAAAATGTAAGTAAAATTCCTACTCTAATAGGAAAATACTAAGCTGTAATCTTAGATTGAATTAGAACATTGGCTACTTTGAAGTGTGTAGCACCCCGTACGACAGGTCAGGAGAGTACCACTTTGGGGGATAAAGGAGTTCTTCCTTCCTGTATACTTCGTGAAAAGAAGAAAGTAAGTGGGAGGAGGAGAGAATTAAGTGTTCTATAAAAATAAGAAAATCACACAA